CAATACACTTGTAAAAGGAGAAGGTTTTCTTCATTGTTGTGTTTCATTCTTTAGATACTTGATAGTTAAGGCAGCCTGTCTTTGATCTTATTTGTTGCATCAGACTAAATTATTTCTGACATTTTATCAGCATTTCTCACATTCATGTGAACTGCTGGCTAATGTAATTGAGTTTCATTTTGAGACTAAGAAAGACCCAAATGAATCACACATAATTTAATAGATTATATCAAAGCCAGCTCAGAGCACCAGGAAACGATGGTTAAGAGAGTATAATTGTTAAACAGAAATGAATGTTGTTACTATATAACTTTCTCTTTAATGAATTGTCTAATTTAAAAAAGTTGTTTTAGTGTTTTTATTAATCAGCAGTTAAAATAATTGCCTCTTTCATGATTCAAATCAAGTCTTATCACTAATGGATTTTTGTCGCTTTACAATGATCTTATGTAGTGACATAATATAATAATTTCACTCTTGTGTGTGCTAAGAACGTTTCAGTAGCTGAGAGGCAGTCTTCCTCCCGTTCTTCTCAATACCTGGGACCAGTTCTGCATTTGGCCCCACCCCACTGATGATTGCGGTGTTCCTTTGCTGGTGTAGACCCATCAGTATTGATAAGGATTAGGAGAGGAAGTTAACTGTTGTGTTAGAATGCTTAGCTTCATCTAGAAGAGTCCTGCATTTGTGCTGTGTCAGGGGCTGGTCAAGGTCTCTCTGTCACCACTTGTCCCTCTCTGCCTCCTAGCCTAAAGATTCTTTCAGTTGTGTGTGGGACCAGCTGACCACATCTTTTTCAAGGCTCTCTTGCCTTTTTTCTCTGTTTGACAGCAGTTTTTCTTTGTAAGAGTTCAGTTCAGTGCATCAGTAGTCTCACTCTCTATTGCTTAAGTTGAACCCTGTGAACTCTGTGACGTTTTTTTTTATTTTGTAGTCAAAATGATCAGAAATTTCACCCATAATATATTTGCAACAAAACCAAATTCACAAAATTAACTAAATCTTTCTTATCACTATGGCATGAACTTAGTGTACAAAGGGCAGTTTTCACTAAGCTTTTCAGATCACGGTGAAGTTTATGAATAGATGTGACGTCAGTCATATAAGTTATACTCCTCTTCCTTTGGAGAAAATGTGTCCCCAGCAGTGGTTAGTACTGCCTGGCTCTGTTCAATATTTACATCAGTCCGATGGCCCATGACTTTCTCCATCATTCACTCCTTCCTCTTCATTAGTGACGTACCCTGCAGTACTGGCCTGGTATTGGATTCCTCTTCAATTATTGCAGTGCCCCGTGGCACTGCTGCATGTCATGAGGCACAGACAGCCCTTGTGACTGTTCTCTCAACTACTGAATGCATCAGTGTGATGCAATTGTTGAATTCCTTTAGCCTGTCTGCACAGCACATGGCATCCATGAGGCAATGGTATTGAAACCTGATGCAAAAGGAAAAAACTCTTGGGAGCCAACAGTCTGAAAAGTGTAGCAATCTTCAACTATCCCTTGCTGCTTTTATTCACTAATTTCCACAAAGTGTTTTATTTACCTGTTTACCACGTGTACTGATGTACAGTAGAAAGAATCCCTACTCACTTGGTTGCCTTTGCTGGCAAGGTGCAAATTATCTGAAATAAGACAAATAATTGTCCTAGCCTCAAGGAACTGACTGTGCACTTCTGTTTGTGGATTTTATAAAATGCCCCATCTGATGATGATATTGCACAGACTGCAGAATTGCCAGATCGGTCCTTCTCCTGATGATGTTTGTGATAGTGAAAAATAAAGACACACAAGGGAGGCAGAAATGTCCATTTTTGGGCCTCCCGAGGCTGGTAAAAGCCTGAGCTCACGTTCTCTGTGATTGTGGGTTCAAGCCTGGGTCATGTCACTAACCTGCTGTGACCAGGATTCCCCAAGCTGAGCCCCTCCAAGGGTAGGGTTGGATTGGTCGGCCAGAGTTCTCAGCTATACTCGGCAACCTTCATAGCCTACCATATCCTTGCATGCATGCAAGAGACGCCATATGCCACTGAACTCCTTGATTGAGGGGCTGTTGCCTGCAACATGTTAGATGAATGGCTTGAAGGTGGGTTAGTTGAAGGAGTCTTCATGCACTCTTTCTTGAAGACTCCTTCAACTAACTCATTCTTCATTCTTCCCTGTGTGTGGCTGCAGGGTTTGTAGCTGCTAAGAGAGACATGAAAGAAACATGATTAGTTTTTGCAAATCTCTGGTGTTTGGGATAAGTTATCTGTTTTATGGTGGGGGAAAGACAAAGCAAGGCCAGTTTATAAAGAGGTTTAGAAAATGAAAGGTTCTAGAGTGACTGAAGTCCATTGGGAGGCCCTTAAAAAGAGAGTCTGTCCTCTGTGCTCTGATCAAAGTAGGGCAGTCTGCAGGTTACCAAATAGCTGAGCTTTGTCAGTTTGCGGAAGTGGAAGTCTTTTCTTTTTGAGGACATCCTCAGTTGAGTTTGTCTTTCTGTTAATGGGGGCTGGGGTGGGGGATATCCTGGTTTTCCTAACACAGCACTTTAAACACCAATGCCTCTCTTCTGGGATGGGATCACTGGATTCTGAAAAACCTAGAGGACAGTCATGGCTGGCAGCTACAACATTCGGTTCTGAAAGAGTCCCTAAATGTAAAGTGTTTGGTTGGTTTAGTTGAAGCATTATTGAAAATCGCCAATTTAAATCTGCAGTTTATCTGCACTGATTATTTTTTCGAAAATTGGTTGATCTTTACATCCATGGTCTGATCATTGCTTATGAAAATGGCATGCCTCATACCACCTGTTAAAAAATATCATGAAAAGAAACATTAGTGTGGCTCTTCCCTCCTGTCTTTTAGCAGGTTGTGCCCAGTCTTACTCACTGTTGGTTTAAAAAGAAACGCAGCTCTGTGTCTAGCTACTCTCTGTTGTTTGATACAACAGTCTGCCTATCACCACAACAGATTTTAGTTTCTGATGAGCACCAGCTGGATGCTGGAAGCCTGCATTAGTGTCAGTTTTTCCTGATTTTATGAAATTTGCACCAGAATAATGTGCAATATTCTAGCGTTTAACTTGCTGAACTTCATTTGTGCCACTGATACCTGGCTCTTTTCTGTTGTTGACTGCTGCTGAGTGTCTGTTGGTTTGAATTCAGCAAGAAGTCACATGCATTGAACAAATACAGACTGGCAGTCTTTCATCTAATTTGTCTGCCACACAGGAAGGCTTTCATCACATAATGTGTGCCAGGATCCTTATTTTTTATTTTTTTAAAACTGTGCTAAAGCCTTTTGTACTGGGCCTGTATCACATGGATGTATGTACTGTAGGCAACTTGTTTCAAATGGGATGACTTTTTTTTCCCTTTCCTTTTAGGATTTCAGGACCCTGTCTCCACCTTTTCAGTTTTTCACTTTAAAGAGTCTGCTTTAAATAGTTGTTCCCCTGATGCACAGATAACTTACTGGAGCCCCATTTTCATGACAAAATGAAGAGGTGCAGCATGTCATCAGTCAGGGCTCAGCCAGCTCCTTTGTTCTGCAGGACTGTGCTGTAAGAATGGGAGGTGGGGCCCTGTGTCTGAGGCTCCAGAGGCCTGTTCTTCTACAGCAGACTGCCTCGTTCCAGCTGTTCCCACAGGGCAGCACTTGTTGCTATGGCAGCACAATGCAGTAGCCAGCGCCCAGGACAGAGGGAGAGAAAGGAGCCTCTACATTGTTTTCCAAAACTAAAACTGTGTGCTGTGGCTTACTTTCTCAAACATAAAATGTGCATTCCTCACTCATGAGTATCGCAGACTGTTGCAGTGGTAGCTAAATATTGTGCAGCAATGAATACACTGCACACTGTGCATAGCTACACGGCTGTCACAGTACCTAGGAAAGTGCAAAACCAAGCAAAATGTACTGCTGCGCATTTGTGTAGGCTTTTTTGTAAGAGATTCACAATCTAAGCTGCTGTTGTCTTCAAGCTGATTGTGTGTGGGAATCTTTTTAAATAAGCTCTCTGGTTACTTGTGTATCACCCACTGACATTTTCTTTGGCTTGTACTAAGATACAGACCCTCAGTTAATGCTCTTGAATGGAATAAATGCAGCATGTTCACTGCATGTCTTTCTTTTACTTTGTCTATATTTTGTGTTAAATTAGATTTTTTCAGATTGAAGTGCATATACTTCTATATGCCTTATTCAGTGCAATGTGGGTTTTTCCCTGTCTTTTTGCCTTTGAATTCTCATTTGGTGTAGAATAAAGGTGGATAGCTATATTTTACTTGGAAGGTTCAACACGTTGTTTGGTATGGTATATCGTGTAAATTCATTCTCATTTTAGACCTACTGAGTATTTTATTTGTGTTATGATTAATAAAGATTATTCTTTAGATGTATGTCATACAAAAATCTGTGAGCCTTAATTATATGAGTAGCTGCCCAATGTGAGAAAATCTATTGTATGAGTCTGACATAGTATATATATATATCTTTCAATATAAAGTGTTAGGCACATGTGATGGAATGAATAGATTCTTCCTATGGATCACTCTTCAGCTTCCGAATTCAAAACTGTGCTTTGTCTATCTGATTTAATTTACAAATACTGTATCTTAAAGCAAACTCCTGGAATGTGAGGAACACTAATAGTTTCAACAGTTGCAGTGACTGTGTGCAGATATCAGCATCATACAGTATGAACTCCTGGATCCTTTAAAATTGTGAATGTAAAAAATTAATTGTGTTGTTCTGTGAATCAAAAACATAATTGTAAGATCTCAAATCAAAAAGGCAGTTGCCTCCCTTCTTAGCGCACAACTCCCAATATATATATGTTCTTTCTCCTTTTACTTGTCACCAGTGTTGTGACAGACATTGTTACCCGTGCTCTGCAGAAGTGTCCTTAAAAACAAGGCGACTATGTATATGTTTTGTGCCTATGTGTACATTTTGCCATATGACCCTGGACAGTGTTTACTAGGTTCTGATCTTTGTGCCTTTTTTATTTTAACAGGAAGCAACATCATATCTTACACTGAGGAGAGGAAACGCTGACTGGGAGCACAAACCTTGGAGAAGTGGCTGACAGACAGAAGCACCAGAGGAGTGGCACTTCACTGGGATGTTCTAGAGACGGGTTGCTTCCTGTAACAAGATTCACAGGCTGGAATAACAGGCAGTTGCCCACCCAACCCCTCCCCACACTCCCACACACCCCTCCAAAAACATGTGAGGGCCTCCTGGCTAAAGCGGGGAACTGAGAGTTGTTACAGAGTTGGGAAAGGCTGCCGGTGCTGCCGCTGGCGAGAGCGCGGGCGCGTGTCGAGTGTGAGAGCGCGTGCCGGCGTGGGGACACCATGATGTTCCGAGACCAGGTGGGCATCCTGACGGACTGGTTCAGGGGCTGGAATGAGTGTGAGCAGACGGTGGCGCTCCTTTCACTGCTCAAGAGAGTGACCCGCACCCAGGCCCGATTCCTGCAGATCTGCCTGGAGCACTCGCTGGCCGACTGCACGGAGATCCACATCCTGGAGGCCGAGGCCAACAACCCCGGTGAGTCTGTGCCCTCTCCTCTTGGTGTCCTTGACATCTTCTCCCTTGTGGAGTATAGCACCTTGGTAATGGCATTTGTGCAGCATCATTTTTGCAGTTTTCATACGTTTATTTCACAAGTTCCCTATGACTTTGTTTCCCACATTTGTTCTCATGATTCTCAGTGGGTTTTTAATGTTCTTAGTCTTCTTTCATCAGTGTGGACCACAGTCATCTTTTATAGATGTATAACGTTTACATTGTCCAGTGTGATGTAAAAACTCATGGGAAGCATCCTGACATTGTAATTTTGCTGAATTGTTTTATACTGTGTTTGACGCTTGGAAGACACCAGTCAGAAGTGTACTTCTGGACCTATCTGAATTCTAACATGCACAGTCTCCGACGTAATGGTATGTTGTTCAGGACATGGTTGTCTCTAAGGAACTTCAATAAGGAACTTACTCGCACTGAGCCAGGATATTTCGACTCCGGTTTAAGTATGTCACAGTTTCCGATTCCCTGCATTTTGTCCTTCATTTTCCAATGGCAGGAAACTGAAATGCTATGTTTTGAAAGATTTAAAGTTGAGAAGCGTCAGGACAGGTATCAGATTTTTGGGCGAGGATGGTATCTGTCCTCTGCAAGGTCTTGTGAGGTCACAATAACCTGCTGTGCAGGAACAATTTCAGGATTTTGCTCTATTAAAAGTCAGTTCTAAAGTACAAACGAATAATTGAGTGATAAGGAAATGCACAAATATCTCCACAAATTAACAGTTCATGAGAACTTGAAATGCTAACTATTCTTGTTTTTAGATGAAAAACGGGACCTAGTTTAACTGGCTATTGATTGGTACTGCAAGTTCACCTTTACTCCATCATTGGATTTGCTCTTAAAGATCAGGGGCAAAAACTTGATTTTGTCATTTGAAGATGTCTCTGGTTTTATAAAGACAAGAAAGAGATGTATTCAGAGGAATTTAATTCACCTGTTCATTGTTTCAATACTATCTTGGGATACTAATACAATGCTTATCCTGTGACGACAAGAGCCAAACAAGAAACTGTGTTCCAGAAAAACTTTCACCAAGACTACTTCTTAAACCAACTGTGAGCTTTTCTGTCTTTGTCAGGGTGTCACAGAATTTTCTTTGTGACCATTGAAATACTTTTTTTCTTAAATGTCTTCACATATAATTTTTTCCAAAAGTATATATGTGAATTGCTGTGGAGTTTTTTTTTTTAGTCAGTGGTTTTTGTAACAAGGAGCCACTGTTTTTTGTTGCAGTGGGTTGCTTGGACATTACAACATTGCACTGAGAAGAGTGTTAAGGAGATTCATGGCTGATGTGTGAATGGGGAAGCCATCCACCATTACTGTGAAGCTCTTCAGGGTTTCCAGCTGATATTTGTTGCCCATCAGGAAAATTAGTTTAGTCACAATTTAACTTCAGGGAATTGGATGTCAACCAGAATTTGATGTGATGCAGAAAAGAGATAAGTGAAGGAGGTGGGAGATCAGAGATGGGAGAGGATTTAACATAAATCTGAGTCTGTATAACGATGAAACTAAAGACTGTGTATAACCTGAGAGGAAGCATATACATTATAAAAAGCAATGGGCCCCAAGACTGAACCCTGTGGTACACTATGATTGACTGGAGCCATGGGGAATGTATGAATACCAAGGGAAACAAAATGCCTGCCAGTCAGATATAAGTGGAACCAGTTAAAAACAGTACCATTGATTGACAATGATTCTGACGTATTTGAGCAATGCTGAATCATTTACTTTATCAAAAGCCACACTGTCCATGATGTGTTTATATCATTCTTTTGGATTAAATGACTGAGGAATAAAAGAAAGATGGGTAAAATGGTATATTATTTAAAATGGTTTTCATGTTCTAAAGATTTCTCATAAAAAAACAATCATCGATGTACTAACACCTTGCCTTCAGTAGCATAACACATCTGTTTGGGCACAAAACTGCTATGCTCACAGGAATTATTATGTATCACTCTTTATGTAACAAATGTAAAAGCAACATCTCTGGTATGTCTCATACAATTTACTGTAGTACAGCAGAAAGGGGCCCTGTTATCTTGTCATTTAATTTATGTAAGTCAGGATTTGAAGGCTGTGCACAAATCCACTTTGGCTGGGCAAAACTCTATTCGAGAGGAAGCAGGTTGGGGTTTGTCATTGGAAAGTGTCTGTGCTGCTTTTTTGCTGCGTAGGAAGTCGGACCCCAGCAGGATGGCGCAGCCAGGAGTAAAATGTGTTCTCTGTGAAGGCTGTAGAGCAGAAATCTGTCGCATACCAAGCCAGTGAGCTAGAGTGAGGGCCCCAGGCACACTTCCAAGAGCTGGAATTCAAGAATGCTGTCTTAAATAACAAGTGGAACTGGACCTCCCAACAAAGCAATTTGGCATGTACAACACAGTCTAGGATTGAGGCGTTTTCTTTTTTGCATCTCTTTTTATAACCAGAATAAAAGGCTTTGATAATTAAAATGAAAACATTTACATTGGAAGTGTAAAAGCTGAGGGGTGGTCTTGTCACGGTTTCTTGAAATTTAATATAAAAAAATCAAAGAAGCTGAAAGAAATTGAAAAGAGAATATAGCCCTTAGATCCACATTCTTTTTCTGGATATTTGTGTTTTGAATAAGATTGCTTTAAATTTCATAGAAACATTACTTAATATTAAAGATAAAAATATGTACATTTAGATGTACAAGTTACTAGTGCTGTCTGTTGTTGGTATTAATTTATCTGTGGAAATCAGTTGCTTTAATATTCTTCACTAATTAAAACTGGTTCCTGAGTTATTTTCACCCAATCGAATTGGGTCTGAAATGCTGTCCTGTAATTTGACAAGAAGTGAGTATCTTATGAAAATGACAAAGAAAACAAGTTATCGGGCCTATTGCTTATCATTTGCATGTTTGGTTTATTTTCTTGGAGCTCTAGGAAGAGGAAAAAGAAAAAAGGGGAGATAATTGAATGAGGTCATTGCTTGAGAACGGAAGCTCTGGCTTTGTCTGATATTAGATGTTACAGTGGATTTGGGCATCTTGCTCAGAGACATCCCAGGTCTCAAGGTTCACGTCCCATCCACCACAATGGCGCTCTGAACAATGGCTTCTCAATGCCTGGACCCTGCCAGCTGGTCTCACACACGTCCACACAAATCCTGAGTCATCGAATCGAAGGCTTCTCCTGCAGGAATGGTTTGTGTGGGCAGTGGAATGTGGGGATGCGGCCCTGCCTGCCGTTCAGGAATTCAGACTGCACCGAGCAAATAGGAAACGGAGAGTCTGAGAACAGGCCATGCCTGGGAAGGCCCTGGGGCCTTCCTGCTTTCACTATAGCACATACCAAGGGAGAGGAGGGGGGGGCAGCGAGAACGAAGGTTATGGTGGGGGCAGAGTAGTATATTCACAGCTCCCAGTGTTACTGCAGCAGTGTACTCTAGCGTGAGCAGTTTTTTTAAAGTGCTTATCTTTGTCTACTTATTTTTTAGTGGAGGCTCAATTTTGGTGTTTGGTATTTTATAGCAGCTGGATTCTGCTCATGAAGGAATTATGAAGAATAATTATGAAAGATTCCCTCTAATGTAGGAACCTCACCCAGTCTTCTATCCAGTTTCAGATCTGTGGTGTGCCCCCCTCTGTCTGTTTCTCACTGTCAGGGCCAGCTCTTCCTCTGTGTTCGCTCTAACTATCCATCCCTATTCACTGTCAAGAACTAGTGCATCAGGCAACAGTATACAGCTTCCCACCCAAAGTGCCAGTAAAAAGATGGTGTTGTTGTCGCATTTGTACACTTATTAAAAAGAGTAAAACAATTTCTATCCTATATACTACCGAATTACACATGGGTGAAAATAGCAATTTTTACCTAACTGCCAAGCAACCATGTAATGCAGTACGTTTGATTTAGCCGATTAAGCTACAGTATATTCGCATCAGTCTTCCCTAAGGGGCCATCATTGCTTATTAATATCATTGCATTCATAACATTAATTGCTTATAAACCTCAGCTTTTAAAATCAATTATATCATCAGAACCAGATAGAGCTCTACATCTCAGATGACAAGTTATTGTCTGTGCTATAAAACACAAGATAGAAAAGCTAAACTGAATTTATCAGCGTTTATGGGACAGGCCATTGAATGTTGTTGTTTAAGTCACTATGATTTAAAACTCAGTAGACGTAAAGCAGCCAATCTATTTTGTATTGTGGCATTTTCAAGTCAACTAATAACATTGCCTCCCGATACAGTCTAACCAACTATGTGTGTTGCATATTGAGGTATGTGTGCGGGAGATTGCTGGTTAAATTTTTAAATGCAGTTTATAAAACCAGTTAGGTTTCACACTGTTTTATTTGTAATACCTAGAAGATAGAGGTCTTTGCTCTTTTGGGAGAAACCGGATCATTACTTTTGGGGGATTTTTCATTTATTACAGTAAAGGGATTAAGTTGAACCAAATGCTGATCCACTGAACATGCGGTGGAATTCTGCCACTGGCATTCCAGCATACGTTTCCAATGGGGAAGTGAGTTAGTTGTAACAATGATATCATCCCTCTGGTGTTTCCTGGCCGGCTCCATATTCAGGCTGCCCTGTAACCTGCCTCTCACTCAGCAACAGGGGCTCCAGGCTCTGTTCATCCCATATAACCAACTCCTGTGAGCTACGTCTGCAGACCTCTGTCTTCATTATCAGCATGTCTAACATTGACGCGAATGGAAAGGGGGGCAGGAGGAAATGAGCAAAGACTCAAGGAACAAGAGATTCTTCCATATCTGAGATTTGTTTCCAGCGCAGACATCTCCTTGTACCTTTGAGTTTTCGGAAAGTATCTTACCCATTTAAAATTAAACCAGACCGCCCTAAAATAGCTGACGGCTGAATGATACCATTGATTTTCTTAACTAGAGTAATGGCACATGAATGCGGCATCACTCTTTTGCCTTGTGGTCTTTGCACCTTAAATGCAAATATG